GTGGCGATGCCTGGGAAAACCTCCAGATCACAAAGTCTGGTGGTCTGGCCTCAAGGGCACCTTCCACAGGGACTGCAGGTGACCAAGTCCCGTGGTCTGGCCTTGAGGGCAACTTCCACAGGGACTGGTGATTCCCAGAAATGCTCTGGGTCACCAAGGCCTGTGGCCTGGCCTCGAGGGCCACTCCCATGGGGAGTGAGGATGCCTCAGAGAAGCTCTGGGTCCCCAACTCCTGTGGCCTGGCCTCGAGGGATCTTGCTACAAAGAGAACTCTCGGAAATGCTTCGGGTCAGTAAGGAACGAGTTGGCTGCGAGGAGACTCCTCACAGCACCGCTCTGTCCCGTCCTGTCCAGACGCGTGCTCCGAGCACAGTGGCGTGGCCGTGTCGCCGCCAACACCAAGATCACGGCGTGTCACAAAGGGCCTTGGACACCCTGCCCTGTCCCATCCCATCGACAACGGCCACTGTGTCACAAAGGGCTCTGTGACACACGGCCACGTGCCCTGGGGCCTCCCCCAGCATGGCCAACCTGCCCCAGGTTGGAAGGAATGCATTCCTTAAAACATCTGAGACAGCTGGATGTGAAATTTAGGCATGGCTCCAAAAAGAAGCAAACACTCCCCTCATGTGCCTGCTCATGGCAGCAGAAGGAGCCCCCTGTGCTGCCGACACAGCCACAGCAGGAAGGGCATGGGGCCTCCACAGAAGCTGGCACAGCCTCCTTGGGAGAAGTCCTGCTGCTGGTGGCCACCATAAACACAGGGTGGTTGACACAGAGGAGCAACGTGTGGGCAAGGGCACGATGCTGCTCTGACTCCTTTTGGCTGCACCAAAATCAGCAGCTCTGGCAACTCCCCGCCCAAAGAGACCTGCCACCGCCCTGAGTCCTGCCAGGGGTGGTGCTTGTCTCCTTCCCCAAAGACCTTCGCCCCTGGGGACTTCCCTGCCAGAGGGCAGTCAAAGCCAACAGGCATTGATGACTGTGCTCTTGCAGGGGGCTGTTGGGAGGAGCGTCTGCAGCAATTTGTGGCAATGCTTGGCATCTGTCAGAAGGCAGAAGTTGTG